TAAAGAATTAGGATTGAGAATTGTTGCATGGAAAAAATTCTTTTTGTTGAAAATTATTTTTTTAAAGATTTTTATTTATTTGAGAGGTAGAGTTACAGAGAGCAAGAGAGAAAGAGAGAGAAAGGTCTTCCCTCCGCTGGCTCACTCCCCAAATGGCTGCAATGGCCAGAGCTGAGCCAATCCAAAGTCAGGAGCCAGGAGCCTCTTCCAGGTCTCCCATGTGGGTGCAGGGGCCCAAGGAGTTGGGCCATCCTCTACTGTTTTTCCCAGGCCATAGCAAAGAGCTGGATCAGAAGAGGATCAGCCGGGACTAGAACCGGCACCCATATGGGATGCCGGCGCCACAGACGGAGAATTAACCTGCGCCACAGCGCCGGCCCTGAAAAGTAATTATTTTAACAGGGTGGGATTAAAGCATTATACTTAGTTTGGCACACTCTGTCAATAAACGCATCTAGATGAGTCTTGTTAAATTCTGGTGTCCTTGATGGAGAATGTATTTGGAAAATTAGGATATTACTTGGTCAGGTGGCAGTGTTCTCCTAAGTGTTGTATGATTAACCAGCAGCTCAGATTTTTCATTCTTCTGGTCATAAGTTGATTCTCTTAGAATAATAATTTTAACTTAGAGGAAGAATACTCACATACAGGCACACACAGAGGTTTTGCAAATGTTTATGGAAATGCATGTTATTGTTTATTCCTTTTTTTCATAAATGCTTTGAAGGCCCTTCACATGTTTTCTGACATTTATGTGTGTGGGAATGGGAATCTCATGGTTTTCAGCCAAGCCCATGATGCTTTGCCAGTATCACTGGAGCTGGGGCTGGCATTGTGGCACAGCAGGTTAAGCCACCATCTGCAGTGCCAGTATCCTATACTGGTGCCAGTTCAAATCCTGGTTGCTCCACTTCCAATCCTGTTCCCTGCTAATGCACTGGGAAAGCAGTGGAAGATAGCCCAAGTGCTTGAGCCCCTAGACCCACAAGGAAGACTCACATGAAGCTCCTGGGTTTTGGCTTTGGCCAGGGCAGTGTGTTGTAGCCATTTGGAGAGCGAGCTAGTAGATGGAAGCTTGCTCTGTCTCTCCCTCTCTCTAACCCTTTTAAATAAATAAATAAATAAATCTTTCTTCTTTTTTTTTTCCCCCCTAGGATCATGAGTTAAAAACCTGTACTCACACTCTAGAGTTGTTAAGTCTCTTCAGTCAGACGAGACTTAATTTTTTTACAGTCTCAAAGCATTCGAGTAATTGAACAGCCCCATTCCTGTCCAGCCACGTCTCCAGCGGCAGAGTGTAACACACCGTGAGGAACAGTGGTTCTGGGAGCAGCCTGACCGGTTGCCTCACGTCACAGACTGCGTTCCTCTGGTGCCCGTGGGTAGTTTGACACGTGGCGGGTCACTACTCGGGTCATCAGCACTTCCTGGGCTTGTTCAGCACCACAGGGATAGGATTGATTCCCAGTGATTGCACCCTGGTTCCCCTCTCTGCTTTTGTTCTGGGAAGGATTTCGCTACTCTTCCCTCACTCACCCTTAGGATTCGGTGGGACCCAGCACCAGAAGCCTCCCCGTCATGTGACGCCTAGGCAGCAGTTTCCAGTTGAGAATTTGCCACAGGATCCTCTGGGGGCACTTGCAGAAGCCGCAGGCTGACGTCTTCCCACCTACAAGCGGTGTACCGGAAGAATAATCAGAGTAATTATTAAGCAGATGTGGAGCAGGCACTGCAGTTCCAGGTGTAAACAGACATGAATCTGGAGGGAAAGACTAACGGGTGATGAAAGGAGTTGAGGCACCAAAGGGGAAGGCTCAGAGAGGCTGGCGGGTGAAGTGGTGAAGGCATAGCACTAGAAAGTGCCCTGGAATTAAGACACCAGTTACAGGTGGAAAGAGTTCAGTGTGTCCTACCAGTGAATGCAAAAGGCTCACTCAACTATGGCCTATGTATTGTTGTTTGTTTGTTTAAGATTTATTTATTTGAGAGGCAGAGATAGAGACAGGTCTTCCATCCACTGGTTCACTCCCCAAATGGCTACAATGACTGGGGCTGGGCTGATCTAAACCATGAGGCAGGAGCCTCCTCCGGGCCTCCCACGTGGGTGCAGGGCTGCCTTCCACTGCTTTCCTAGGCTATTAGCAGGGAGCTGTATTGGATGGAGCAGCTGGGACTTGAACCAGCACCCATATGGGATGCCAGCATCACAGGCAGAGGTTTAACCTACCATGCCACAGTGCTGGTCCCGAAAGTATATCCTATTACAATTCAAAATTCTAAGGATGATAGAGGATCCTAAAAGCTTTCAAAGATGAAAAAATAATGTAAAAAGGATTAGTAACTGAAGTAGCATCAGACTATTCAGCGGGCACATTAGAAGCTAGAAGAAAATGAAATAATACTTTTAAAATTATACAGAAAATGATTTCCTACTTAGAGTTCCATAACTAGTCAGGCCACCAACCAAGGCATTTGAACACACAGATTCTCAAAAAATTACATTCTGTGTGCCTCATTCAAGTAGCTAATGGGAGATGCACATTATCAAAACAAGGGAATTGCCAAAGAGAAGGCAGGAGATCCAGGAACAGGGTTTTCCACAGAGGAAAATGGTGAAGGAAGTTCTTAGCATGGTTGTCGACAGGAATTCCCAAGCCAGGTCAGGCCTAGTGAGCAGCCAGTCCAGCCAGACTGAATCAGGGTGCAGGGTGTAGGAAGAATGTCTCTGATTTAGAAAAAGGATAACTTAATGTGTGAGTTTTATTGAGGAGTTTTGTAGTTCTTAGGAGAGTTTGATGAGGTGAATAAGTGTTGTGAATATATAAAAAGCTAAGCAAAAACAAAACCAGGGCAACTAATAACTCCAGGAGAAACAAAAGGTTACCCAAGAGGGGAAATATAGTCATTAAGTCCTAAAGGGAACTGCTGGGAATAATATTTACTTTGTTAGACTCCTATAAACTCTAAGTATTGACTTAGCCAAATGTTGTAACAGAGCCGAGAGGATTGGGGAAGTGTGACATATTTGTATATGGAGGTACAGATGGTATTTGAGAACTAAATGCTTATGTTCCACAGGGAGAGTTGAGTTGCCTCTCGAGAGTGAGAATTGGGTATGTGGAACAAGGCAGCTAGGGACTTCCACTTTGTATTATAAACTTGGCAGTCCTATCTCAATATTGTACTTTGGCAAAAATAAAAATAGTTAATAAAAATATAGACCCAGCATTTGTAGTGCTGAGAGAATCTTAAATACTGTATTTTGCATTTTACTGAACAAACTTTTTCACTTGTATACTCTATATACCCACCTTTTAGCATGTTCCTAAACTTCACCCAAACTTTATTCTTTTTGATGTTTCACTGACCATGCGATGTAGAAAAAAATCGACAAGGTAAACTGGAACTTCAGATATGTTTATAGACTGTCCCTGGATCCGGGGCTGTCCTCCACCCCGCCCGCTCCGCTCCCCTCCCCGTGTTTTTGTGTTGACTCTAAATGACCTCAGCAGTCAGCCCTGCCTCGTCCTCCTCCCCCTCCTCCTGCCTCTCCGTGAGAGAAGTCTGCATTCCTCAGCCACCTGATGTTCCTCAGATGGGATGATGGCACACGGCTGCTCCGCCCCACACCGAGCTCTCTGGCTGTTGGTGGATGGCGCTCAGGGAAGCCCCAGGTGTTCATGAAGAGATTTTGTCAGTCTGTATAGCCACAGGCTGCCCTCCTCCACCTTTTTATTTTGACAAACTCTCTTCACATTTTGCCGCACCGCGCTCTCCCGACAGGGACAGGGGTTGCAGGAGTTCAGGGTGAGGTAGATGCAGATGTCCAGAAGCAGGACAGCCCCTGCAAACCAAAATGCCATTATCTGCTGTGCATATTACCTGTGTGTATTACCTGACATGCAGTTAATATTAAAATTTCCCTCGGATCGAAACTATCAATTCCCAACTTGACTCTCACTGGGATTAAACATGACAATAGGTCTGATCTGATTTCATCATCATTTAAAAAAAAATCATCTATTATTTTTCACTTTATGTTTCTGTGTGGGAACAAACTGTTGAAATCCTTACTTAAGGTATAATAAGCTGATCTTCTGTATACTAAGATAATCGAAAATGAATCTTGATGTGAATGGAAGGGGAGAGGGAGTGGGAAAGGGGAGGGTGGTGGGTGGGAGGGACGGTATGGGGGGGAAAGCCATTGTAACCCATGAGACGTACTTTGGAAATTTATATTCATTAAATAAAAGATAAAAAAAAAAAAAATTTCCCTCGGATCCTAATAGTATTTTCTGTAGATGGGTGTTAGCCCGGAATCCAGTGGTCACACATTGCATTTAGTCACCTTTGGTCTGTAAGTCCTCCTTATGCTCTGAGTTTCCCAGGTTTCTGTTTGTTTCTTTGTTTTTTAATCTTTCATGATAGTTACAGTCATTAGGACCTCAGGCCAGTGTTTTGATAGCATATCCTACGAATTTGAGTTTTTCTCTTTGTTCTTACATCTTAAGATTCTGTGTCACACACACAGACTTTTTATCAGCTCTTAACGCTGTTTTGGTTTACTTTTGGTTTCCCTGCTACCCTGCGGTTTGGCTTAGTGCACAAGGAATGACCGTCTCTTACCTGGAGAGCACTGGAACTCCCGGCTGCAGGAAATATCAAAGTAGCCATCGCGGGGAGGGATCAGCGGTTCCTCTGGAAACAAGCACACTCTTGTGTTGTTTCTTTTTCATTTTTTTTTTTTAACATCCTTGGCAGTGTTTGTGGTTGACTTAGTATGTTGTAACCAAGGGCAGATTTTCTGCTTTTTAATTAAGTTCTGCTGCAGTGCGCAGGCCCAGGAGCCAGGTTTGGAAAGTCCTTGGCCAGCCTTTGCCATGCCTGAGCTGGTGGCTTCTTGCTGGAGCCCAGAGGCAGAATGCGTGCTGGGTTTGCAGCGCCGTGGCTGTCCTCGTGCCAGGGCGCTCCGTGGCTGAGGTTGTGTGTATTTTGCATGACGTGAGGGCAGCATGGAGCCATGGCATGCCTCAGATGCCAGGAGGACTATGCAAGCGTGCTTCCCAGTGGTCATGCCCGCCTGGCAGGAGGCCCTGGGTGACAGGGTGGCCCACAGGCAGCGCCGCTACAGGTCCCGTCTGAGCCAGTGCTGCCTTGTTCAAGGTCTGGACAGGCCACTGTCGCCTTTTGCACGGGCTGCCTGGTGTGTAGTCTGGCTTCCTTCCTCTTCTGAGCCTCCACAGTGCTCTCTGGCAGCGCGCGACCGGGGTGCCTTTGGTGGAGCAGGCTGGCGGGGCCTCGTGGTGCGCCCGTGTGACCGAGTTTTCCCTCTCGCCCCCCGCTGCAGGTTCTGTGCGAGGGTCACCCTTTGTCATTATGCGATGTCGTCTCTCGGCACCTCCTTTGTGCAGATCAAATTCGATGACTTGCAGTTTTTTGAAAACTGCGGCGGAGGAAGTTTTGGGAGTGTCTACCGAGCCAAATGGATCTCCCAGGACAAGGAGGTGGCGGTGAAGAAGCTGCTGAAGATCGAGAAGGAGGTAAGGCCTGCCCCTGCGTGCCCGGGGGCGGATCCCTGGGGCCGCTTCCCAACGGCCACTCAGGGAGCCCCATAAATAGAAGTTATCGCAGCGTGTGCAGCGTGTGCTCCGGGGTTGAGTTCTACTAGGGGTTATCTGGAGAGAGAGGATTTCTTCCCATGGCACAAAGACCCAGTGTTCTGAGGCCCGGGTGAGGCGTGCACCCTCCCACGAGGGCAGCCAACAGGGGGCAGTAGAGAGCACCGAGTCTGTGGTCCTGTGGCCGGCTTTTGAGCCGCCACCTGTGCCAGAGGGAGAGCCGCCCTCCTTTTAAAATCTCCGGAGGGCCTTGGCTTCCAGGGCCTGGGATCCGCGCTGGTCACCCCCAGAGCTCGCTCGCGGGGCCTGCCAGCGCTGGCGACCCCCAGCCGCCGCCCTCCGGAGCTTTCGGCCACGTCCTGTGCTTTGACATCTGTATCCGTTCATCTCCCGGGATAGTTTCCTTGTCTTCATTAACCTGCCAGCGAGCCGTACCTTGTCGCCACTTTACAGACTAGGAACTAGGGCCTTGAAAAATGTAATAAGCTGCCCCGGAGGCACAAGTGAAAGCCAGACCCCTTCCCCCCCTTTTTAAATTTTAACTGTGAAACCACCGGCTGACCAGGTAAGAATAGAAAAGAAACGGGTTCTGGCCGTGTTCAAAGATGCTTGCTGGCATGTTCAGGTATGAGGCCGCGTACTGTTAGCGTGCTGAACGTGGTCTTAGCGATTGCTCTCGGTGTCAGGAAGGCTTCGTGAGGCAGGAATCGGATTTGATGGGAGAACATTAACTGCAGTTCACTCACCCCACACGGCGGACCCCAAACACACACATGCACACACACCCTTTTCTGGTGCTTTGGAGAGAGCCAGGACTATGACAAAGGACAGCAAGGTGGCAAGAGCAGGAGTTGAAAACTGCGAAATCCCGCTTCTGTGCCGGTGTGGTGTACTTTAAAAGGCTCGTGGACGGTGGAGTTAAGTGGAGTTAAAAGATACTTTTATTTTGTGGAAAGGTTTTTAAAGCCACATGTGGTTTTGCGTAATCCGTACTGGCCATGAGCTCTTTGGCAGCCCCTCACATTTGGCCTGCGTGTGGATTGACCAGAAAGTGAGCAGATGACCACAAACCGCAAGAACCTAACTCCCAAGCTTGTGGGCAGGAAGACCGAAAGCTCGGCGTCTGTGTGGGGCTTGGTTAGTCAGCCGCGGAGAGACAGGTGCATTCTGGGGAGGCAGCCCCACACCTGAGTCACCATGACTTTGAGCTGTACAGAGTTTTGGCCGCGGTTGGCAGTTACTGGAAAGGAAATCCACATGTCTGGTGTAAATCACCGTTCTGCGTTGTGAAGTATGTACTGCATGCTGCCTGGGGTCTTGCGAGGGGGCAGCTGATGCGGAGGTACTGCAGAAAGCATGCAGGAAGTGGAATTAACAGACGGGTTTATTTTGGTACAAAAGTGTTGAAAGCCATACATATGTAGGGTGTTGGAAAAGTTCACAGAAATGCAGATTGTGAAAAAAAAAAAAAAAAAAAAGAAGAAGTTCCAGATTCTTTCACACCAAAGTAAACTTACAGTTTAATTCCGTTTTCTGCAAACTTTTTTAAAAAAAATTTTATTTATTTATTTGAGAGGTAGAGTTAGAGAGAGAGACAGAAACAGAGAATCTTCCATCTGCTCATTCACTCCCCAAATGGCCGGGACTAGGCCGATTGGGAGTCAAGAGCTTCTTCCGGGTCTCCCCAGGTTCAGGGGTCCAAGGACTTGGGCCATCTTCTGCTGCTTTCACAGGCCATAGCAGAGAGCTGGATCAGAAGTGGAGCAACCAGGACTCGAACCATCCTATGGGATGCCGGCTCCGCAGGTGGATGCTTTACCTACTATACCACAGCACAGACCCCTGCAAACTTTTAAAGCTCTGGATTTTTTCCCTAATGTTTAGTTCAATGTAATGTCAGTTCTTTTTTTCCAATGAGTTTTGGAAGCTATAAACATTTAATAAATGTCTGTAGTTCCTTTCATGTGACTCTAAGGATGAATTAATATCTGATAAACACCTGTTTTATGAGCCTAATGAGAAGTGGAGAAAACATACAGCACACTCTGTAACTCTGCCTGTGAGAGGGGGAAGGAGCGCTGTTTGCTTTCCCCTTATTTGTAGACCTCTAGTTTACTGAGTGTGTATTTCTTCCCTGGGCTGCAGTAAGTGTACATTACTTTTCTAATAAACAAAGGAAGACAAACAACACTATCTTAAAATCTTATAGTTCTTTGAAACTTTGTTTCAAAAAAAATTCTTTTTTGACAGGCAGAGTTAGACAGTGTGAGAGAGAGAGAGAAAGGTCTTCCTTCCGTTGGTTCACCCCCAAATGGCCGCTATGTCTATGCGCTGCGCCGATCCGAAGCCAGGAGCCAGGTGCCTCCTCCTGGTCTCCCATGCGGGTGCAGGGCCCAAGCACTTGGGCCATCCTCCACTGCCCTCCCAGGCCACAGCAGAGAGCTGGACTGGAAGAGGAGCGACCGGGACAGAATCTGGTGCCCCAACCGGGACTAGAACCCGGGGTGCTGGCGCTGCAGGCGGAGGATTAGCCTAGTGAGCCGCGGCGCCGGCCTGTTTCAAAAATTTTTAACAAACTGTTTATTCATTGATTTTTATTTTACTTGAAAAGGAAAGCAGAGAGACAGAGATAGCCTTTTCCATCCACTGAATGTCCACAAAAGCCAGGGGCCCAGAATTCAATCTGAGTCTCCCATGTGAGTGGCAGCGACTTGAATCCTTGAACCGTCCCCTGTTGCTTCCCAGGGGTTGCACATTTGCAGGAAGCTAGAGTTGGAAGTGGAGCTGGGACTTGAACGCAGGCGTCCTGTCAATGTGGGATGTGGGCATCCCAAGCGACATCCTAACCACTAGGTCAGATACAGCCCTTACAGACCTCTAACACCAAGGGAGAGAATGCAAGAATGATACTGCACTCTAGGGTGTCCTTTCCCTAAACTCACCACTTGGTGACCCTGAGCAGCAATTACTTTCTCTATATGTGTTACATGGTCGATGCGTAGTCATATACTACTTTATTTTGTCATTTTTGCTGAGGCAAAAGGCTAAATTGCATTTGCTGTTTACCTTTTTATCCCTAAATACTTTAGCATCTCCCAAGAAAACAGCCACAGTGAACATATTCAGGAAATTTAACAGTGATATCACACTTTATTAGAGAGTCTCTATTCACATTTTGCCAGTTGTTCCAAAAGCTTTTTTTTTTTTCTAAATTTGAAAGAGTTACAGAGAGCCTGCAAACACACACACACACAAACACACACACACACACACACACACACATGGAAAGGGGGGGGAGGGAGGGAGGGAGGGAGAGAGAGAGAGAAAATCTTCTATCTGCTGATCCACTCCTGAAGTGCACACAAAGGTCTCCTATGTGAGTGGCAGTGTCCCAAACACTCTGCTACTTTCCCAGGCCATTAGCAGAGAGCTGGATTGGAAGTGGCAGAGCTGGGACACAAACGGGTGCCCACGTGGGAGGCCAGTGTCACTGGCAGAGGCCTTACCCACTATGCAATAATGCAGCCTCGCAAAAGCTTTTTATGGCAATTTTTGTCTAAGCCCGGATCTGATCCAGGATCACATGTTGCAATTAGTTGACGTATCTGTGTGGTCTCGGGCAAGTTTATTTTTCTGCCTTTTTTGTCTTTTAAGGCTTTGACATTTTTGAAGAGTGCAGGATGGTTGCTTTGTAGAATCTCTCTCTGACCCCTTCCCTCCTGCCCCAGTTAGGAGTGCTGTAGCAGGTCACGCATCCTTGGTGGGACTTGTGCGACATCACTTTGTTACTGATCCCACGGTTAAAAGGGATTCAGCCAATTTCTCCATAGTAAGTCTATCCATTTTCACTTTGTAATTAATAATTAAACTGTCGGTAGATACTTTGAAACTATGCAAATATCTTCCTTCAAAAAACATTTACCCAATGTTTTTAGCATCCACTGCTGGTTCTTTCTTGAATCAAATAGTACTGTTTGTTGTGTAGAAAGCAAACAGTCGCTTCCTTGTGAGTTTTTCCTTCTTCCATCTGTCATTCTTTCCCTCCTTTATTCACCCACCCATCCATCCATCCATCCATTCATTTATTGTTTGATTGCATACTTAACATTCTTCTTCAAATTCAAAATACTGCAATCTATTAGTTACTCATTTGTGCTTAAATTATACCAGACTTAGGACATCAGAACTCCTTTAAGCTGGGTATTGTGTCTTTTTGCTCTGTTCTCATTTTAAAAGAAAATATTTTCTTTACAGTGTGGCACAAAAAGTTCCAAGTTCATTTCGTAACCTGTGTCGTGCCTAGAACCAGCCATTGCTTCAAGAAGCCCTCAGTCAGTGTGCTGATTTGAGAGTGCAGTGTGTAGCAGCCAAGATCGGATACTGAGTTTGTTTATTTAGACCTAGAAAGAAGCAGGGGTGGGGGGAAGACTGGGTCATTTTGACAGAAAAGTGGTTCTGGAGAAACTTTACTTAAGAAAGCATTTAATTTAAAACTTACAATCATGCCTCTAAGTAGAATCTGTGATACACTGCTATTAGCAATGCAAATTGGTAGACTTTTCTGGAGAAGCAAACTTACCATAGGAAAAGTCCTGGATCTTTTTCCTGAGGAAGTGATTAGAAATGTCAGAAAGATAAGTATCTTAGGTGGTCAGCTCACCTGTACAACGGTGAAAAATTGGAAGCAACGAATGATGCTAAAGCTGCGTGATGTAGTTCCATTCCATCTGGAAGACTATTCAGAGAGCTAGGAGAATGCTCGTCATATATTGCTACGTGGTGAAAGCAAGTTAGAAAATCCCATCTAGAATATGATACCAAGTCTGTACTTGGCATCTGCCTGGTGCTTTCATTTTTCTTGAGCAGTCACATTTTTGGTATTTCTTTCCACCCCCAAGATTTTATTCTGAATACTTTCAAAC